TCAAACAAAGTTTAAGTTCTGATGGTGCTATATTTGCAAATGGTTTAAGTTTTCAGCAAATTTAGTATTTTATCGATTTTATATAAATATACACACACACACACACACACACACACACACACACACACACACACATATATATATATATATATATTCTTCTATTCTATTTTGTATATATATATATACAATTAGGTAATTATTCATGGAAAGTAGAAAATTCAGATAACGAATATTCTACCAGTAATAAATACCAGACTTTGGGATCCCAAAAAATAAATCTCAAAATACATTCAATGAATGAATATATGAACAAAAATTTCAGACTTATCTCAAAAAGAATAATGATGACCTTCCTGAAACAAACATCCATTTTTGTTCCATTAAACAATCAACTGTCAATCACTTAAGATTAAAGCGTCATCCTATTAAGTATTATAGCAGCAAGTCTTCTCATATTTTCACAATCAATGAGTTGAGAACTATCTATTATTACTATAGTAGTTGATAAGTTGGTTAGTACAATTCGGGCGATTCCAATAAATAAAAAGAAATCAGGATGACATATTTATATTTAATATATATGTATTACTTATTTAACTCATATATATGTATAATATTGTATTAAATAAATAACTTGGTACGGGATTCAAAACAAAACTCGACATACTGAACTCTACCTTCCAACAGTTGACCTGTATACAATGACCCTTTATCAACGAATTTGTAGTAATTTAAACACTTTAATAAGAGACATGACACAGCTTACATCCTCCAGAATATGCGGAGAAAACTAAAAGGCGTTGGATGAGAGATCTTCTTCCTTTAACAACCTAAGTAATTGAAATAAGTCAGGGAAGAGATGCTATTGTGTGCTGACACACCCATGCCTGGCATGTCTTTATATCTTTTACTTCCAGAACATTAACTAATTGTCAACAAAAATTTACAGCAGCACATAAATTTGTATAGCCAAAAATAAACAATTTGAGAATCCCGTCGACATATTGTATTCGTCCAAGTTTCCCCAATTCGCACTCGGTTCATCCTCTAAGAGATTCCATGAGCCATATAGATTCAAAGCTTTGCAAAAATTCGATTTGATTCACGTTTACTGCAGGAACACGACGTAGTAATTTATTTTATTACTTTAAGTGGAGCTATTAACATTTTACCAGGTGAGTGAGAGCGCCTAACGATCAGAGCTCTCCGATAACCGCGCTCTCTTGCAACTTGTTACCGGTACATGCAGCATCCACTCTTAACTGGATAATAGGTCCTCGAGTTCTGGAACATGTCTGCAGAATGCAGGGTTAAGTGGAAGGAAGTGCACCTCGGTGCAGATAATGCACCGTTGGGTACTTAACTCCCTTATAATGTGTACATGATCCCGATCAAATAAATTTTTCTACAACACTGGTGTAATTGCCCCAATAGCTTGTTATTCAAACTATACCTCATCTTAAGCGGTCAATACCTAAATTATTGCAAATATTTAATCGTAGAATACTCAATAGATGAGGAACTCCTTTAAGGCACTTACGATTCTTGAGCCTATTTATTTTTGTAATGAAAGAGAACCTAATTCTATTACGTTTCTGAGACTTTTAAAAAGTGGGAAACTAAACCATCAGTTACTTTTAAAAAAATAGTTTATGATGTTATTAGTGTGGTGCTGACCTCACCACTTCCCTAGAAATCAACCTTTCTTTATTGAAGATATTTCTGTTGTAGTCCGACTCTGAGTTTAAGTCAAGTATACAATTTTTTTATTCAAAATTGAGTTTGTTGTGCTTGATGAACTTCCTAAATCATTCCTATATAGTGCATGGTACGGATCCCATTTTATTAAACTGTTAACAAGCGCCTGAAACTTCGAAAATAACTTCATCTCATCGTAACCCATAACTATTTTATTTACGAAAATTCTCGGAATTGTGTAGTTTTCAATCTGGAGATCGGCAAATTTTGTCTATTTAATTAGGCACTAAAAACTCGCAAATATCCATTTGATTTCCACTTGGATCGTAAGATAATTTGATCACATAATCGAGAAAAAAGGTGGCCTATAAAAATATTGAGCCGTTTGACCTATATAATATAGTTATTTTGACATTTTGGGGGTGTAGGTCAGACCAAACGGTTCGATATTTTTTATTGCCACATTGTTTATCGATTTTGAGATCATATTATCTTATAATTCAAGTGAAAAACAGACGAGTATTTATGAGTTTTTAGTACCTAATTAAATAGACAAAGTTTGCCTGTATCCAGATTGTAAAATCTCCAATTCTGAGAATTTTCGTAAATAAAATAGTTGCAGGTAAAATAGAGATGAAGCTATTAATGAAGTCTCAAGCGGATGTTAGTAATTTGATAAAAAGGGATCTGTACCACGGACTTAAAAGTTCATTCAAATAATTATTTCCAGTGCTTAAAATCCAACCTGTAAAGTTAAAAAAATAGGAAAAAAAAATAAAGGATTTGGCTTCATTCTTTAGTCTTGAAGGTCTGTGTTTTTTAAGGGGTGTGTGCGTTCAAGAAGAAGAAGGTTGTGATCGGGCCGGGATTATGCTCAACCGTTACGTTAAAGGTAACTTATTTTAGTTTAATATCCTCTCAATTAATTACTTAATTAATATTACCCACTTTATAGAGGCTGGGTGTGCCCCAGAGCGTCATTTTCCCTAACCCAGGGTCGATCAACAGCTAATGAAAAATTACTTGTGGAATGAAAAAGCTAGAAGGGACTAATTCTATTTTTCCACAGTTGCGGACTCAGCTAAAGAATTATTTTTCTTTCTGTATAACAACAAAATAATAAGGCTATGATTCAATAATCTGAGGAAATAACTTTTGTTCACTTATCTCCGATGGCATCCTCGGCCCTTGCATGAGGCACTTTATTCCCTGACTCCCCGTAGCCACAAGATCGCAGCCCTCTCCTCCTGCGGTGACAACTCCACGACCCAGTGGTCATCAGGAATGTCGCGACAGGCCGTCCAAGTGGTTTGTCGTGAGGTTTATGGTGCATTGCCAATAACTACCAGGCCGTAAAATGGAATCTAGGTTTTATTAGTTCCATCACTGCAGATCTTCGTTGTCACTGATGTCTGATAATAAACATGTCTTTTAGGTTGGATGGCTTTATTCTGGACTGCTTGAAGGAATAAATTTCATTAACTTAATAATAGTATTTTTTTTTTTGGAGATGTTTTGGAAAGAAAATATTTATTATTAAATGATTATATACTAATTCTTATATACTCAAATTTTCTTCTTTTTTTCTCCATTATTGTTCATTTTGAAAACAATTGAAAAGCACTAACTCCACACCTAACAATATCCGTTATATTTTTACAGTCTTCATATTGTTTTACTGGCGGATCTAGGGGATAGGAGTACGGCGTAGAGGGAAGGTTTTCGGGCTGAAGCCCTCTCCAAAAATGGTAAAATATAACCTAGTATTAAGAATGAAGTATTAAAAAATTATCTCTAAAAGTATTATTTTTGGTGTAGTCGCATTTAGTAGGACTACAAGAATCAATTAAACACTAATTCATATAGGTATTTAGTTTATTTCTTCTTCTTTCAAAATCATACTCGTCATAGGGATATAAAAAAAAATCTTTTGCGCTGAAGCCCCCAAAATTAAATCTTGGATCCGTTAGTGTATTTTTGTATGTATTGAAAATCTTATTCGCGATTTCAACAATATCTGTCGATACCATAATTCTTTAATTGCATCGAAATAACATGAACTCATCGCATATCAAACATACGTATGTCGAAAAATAAATAATGATTTTATTATTAGGTAATTTTAGACTGTTTTTTTTGGACTAATTGGAGTTTATAATTATAGAGATGAGTATGGTGCATGGACACCGAAAGCTTCTCTACAAATAACAATTGTACACCAAAAAAGAGACTGTCATTGATAATATAATCCTGAACTCATAGTGATTTTATTTTTAGGCGAATTAACGTTAGGTGACCAAATGTTACGTTATGACTTTTAACTATAAACTGACAGTATGTAATAAGTCAAATATTACAATCTAGATATTATATAGAAAATCCATTATAAATTATTTTTTATTTATTTTATTTTAGTAAAATGTTAATTGATGTCTTTATTCGATTTTTCCGTTTCTGTTGACAGTCCCCGAAAGCTTTTTAATAGATTGTTATTACCTTGGATTAGGGGTGGTTAGGGATGGTTAGGGGTGCTTTAGGCAAGTCTATAATCTTAAAAAGTCTTTTAAGGATGAAATAAAATTGGAAGGTATTTCAGTCGATTTCTTCATTGAATTAGCAGACGTTTCGACCCAAATATGTAGGTCATCCTCTGGGCTATCGTTTGGAAGTCGAAACAAGAACTGATGTGTTCTAAATGGTGCGTTCATCGCACCCAACTGAGAGAAAATCAGACGTTTCTGTATGTTTGAAGTTTCTTATTGATGGATTGTACCATCCATCAAAGTAATGTTAAATTTTAAATATTATGAGTTTTTGTCTATTCTGATTGTATTTTTTAATTTATATTTGCTCTTCAATAATCTTTATTTTTTTAAACTTTCTTTACGCGTTCACTCCTTATAAGGACAACAGCTTATGATTAAATATTTCAACGTACACCTTTATTTATCATATAACACTCAAAAGTCGAATTGAAAATGTACTATAATCCCTTAAGAACGCCTAGTCTGTATCAAAGGGTTTAGAAGGGCGCTTACAGATTATAGAAAGATATGTCCTTACACGTGAGGGAGTGGCAGTCCACGTGAACTCTCGCCGGGACCTAAAGTAGATCTTGTGCAATTCTTGACATTGTTTACTTACTTTATCATACTTTTCCTTCAGTCGCTCTTGGACCTTGACTTATTTCAATAGTTCGATGACAGTGTAACATTCTTATTGCTAAAGTTGTTTGAAAAGCCAAAACGTTTTGTTCGTTTTTAAAAGCGGAATAACAATATTTATCCTTCGAGTAGCGTTACATGGTTGCTGTCAGTTGTAAGTGTTAAATTATTTCCGCTACCAATCTTTAGAATTTCTACTGTCGGAAAATTGTTTGTGCTTTTATTATTATTATTTATTTTTTTTTTATACAAGTAGCTTTTAAACAAGAAGAATATTGCTAACCAAATCAATATTGTATATACCTTGTGTTATTTACGAAATCGCTTAATTGAGCTACAATTCATGCAATCATTATGAAAAAGTTTAAATGTTAATAGTGCTGTTTGATTACTGAATAGCACCATAAATGCTTGGTATCTACTCGGGTTTTACAAAGTTGGTTTAAAATTCGCCCCATCCTATAATAACCTGAAGATGGCTTGACAACCAGATCCTAATGAATATAAAATTTAAAGTGGTAAAATGTTTTTAGTCTCAAGGATTCCTAATAAATTACGTTTCTTCAACATAAGTATTAATATACTGCAATTTATATTTTTCTATTCGTAACTGCATCTCCAAACTTTTCCATTTTCCTTAGTTGTTTATTGTAATAAAAAAACAAAAAAAAAAAGTTCATGCAACTATTATCTTATATGTAATTATGTTTGTTTTTTTATTTTGTAGTTTTTGCACTCGATATTTATGTTGAAGATAGGGCACTCTTATTTTTAATATTTGTTTCTTAATATTCTTCTTAAGTAATATGCGAGTAATCCTATGAGAAGGCAGTATATTTGTTAATTTGTACATGAACGCGCATTAAGCTATTAATATATCATATCGTTCTTAAAAAGTCATAAATTAAATTATGTTGGTTATAAAATAAATGGAGAGGGGAGAGGGAGTAAATGAGGAGAGGGAGATAAAGGTGTCTAAATCGGCCCGACAAAATAAGATTTATTGGACTTTTTGCCAGTGTTTTCGAAATATTCTGTTACAATGGAAATCCATTTACTTTTTGAAGTTATTCGAATACGTTAAAAAGTATATATCTCTCAGAAAATTGTATAAATAATATTAAAATATAATTAAATTCAACACAAAATCAAAACTTAAACCAAAAAAAAAATGAAAAATAAACTTCACCGTGCTGTTAGCGAACAGACGTCAACCGATTTTTTTATTGAACTTGACACTCAAAGCGATAAGTCGAGTGAGAAGAAATACCAGTTAATTTGATATTTTTTTTTTTTGTTACTGAAAATATTCTAATTAAATTTTAATTTATTAAATTATTTAATGCATACATTAACGATTCTGCACGAAAAAGCTGTTTTAGGGAAATAAAAGCGACAGATGACATTTAAAAATTACTTTACCTTGAAGACATAAATTTTCGGTCTTTATCTTCTTGCTGAAATATTATCATAACTCGGGATTTATTTTATTAAGATGTGAACGGAATTTGGTTCTTAGCCGTGGCTGAGGTACAGTCTGTGACCCTGAAGATCGTCATAAAATCTGCCAACTATGTAAAAGAAGTGTATCTTTGGAGGACATTGTGGAGATATCCAGCTCGGATCTGTTGTGGGTGCGGCGGTAGATACCGCGGTGAGATAGCAGTCCAGATCGGGTTGTGCCAGGATATGAACACTATCAGCAAGAACAAGAGAGGTACTATTTCATGAGTCTAGTTAAAAATTCTGGAAACGGACTTAAAAAGTGTTATGTCAAAAAAAAAAAAAAAAAAGAAAGGCGGAAAAAATGGTAGATCTACAGTGAAATGGGGAATATTTGTATTAGCCACGTGTAAAAGATGCTGGTTAAGAACATGTGACGAGATGTTGACTTCTTATGGCGCAGTGCCAATGATTTGATTTTTGTTTTATTCCTCGCTGTTGCTGAAGGAAAGTGTTGTATTAGAATTCAGGAACAACGGCGACTGCCATTTAGATAAAACAAATTTTATATTTTAAAAAAGAAAAGCCGAATGATGTAGTGGTCTTATATTCTCTGTCAACATGAGACATTGTTCTTCTTTCGGTTACGCCTTTGCATATCCTACTACGGCTTAAGATAGTAAAGAACTGCTACATTATTACTTCTATAAAGTCTTAAGATTTCACTAAAATATTAAAATAAAGAGAGCAAGTATTAGTTATTGGCTTTATAAGCCTTTTTAACAAATTCATTTCTATTCCATCCAGTGTTGATGCACACTGGTGGCCAATCCCCCGATTAGATAATTTTTTTCCTTGTTTTTTATTTTTGCTTATTTAAAACGTTTTTACGACCTTTTTTTATGTTAATAGGTCAAAAGTAAAATGATTTTAATACAATTTAATTATGCTTATCATTTTCAAAATGTTTCAAAGTTCTAAACTACATAGAATATTATTGAAATTAATAAAAATTAACAAATATTAAAATGTTTTTTTACAAATGTCAGTAACAATTTGTTTAATATTTTTATTTATTTAGAGAATTTATAAAAAAATATATGTATATACAATCACTGTTTTATGAAAGGAATAACAATCATACCCTAACGAAAGTAGACATAATCATTTTATTTGTCTATAATATAAACAATAACAATAAAAATAATTGTAAAGCAAATTTAAAGTTTATTCGTAAAAATATAACTTTGCATATGCAAGCAAAAATGCGCAAATAAAAACTTTGCATATGCTGGTCAACCCTCATATCTCGTACTATACATTAAAATCTAGTACATACACGAGGATTCTCGTACCAACGGCAATACTCATCGTGTAAAGCAATACTCTTCTGTAGATTTTGGCTATTATTTTCAATAATGAACCTTTGGACGATCAATAAAAATCAATTAAAAAAAAAAGTCAATGCCCTCCTAAATTTTGAGTAGAATTGAAAAATAGAGATTGATTGGACATTTTATAGTCCATATTTCTACAGGTAATATAGATTTTTAATTTTTTATGCAAAATTTTTGAATAAATAGCCGAAAAAACTTTCTTATTACGTAAAGGCAGTCTATCTGTGCGATGAGTATTTCTTGATTAGGTAGAACGATTTTATTGATTTCATCTCTGTTTTACGGAGATTAGACCCTTGACTGTATGGACACCGTATACACAGAGCAAAAAAAAAAATATATATATATATATTTTCTATGTAGATAGATAGATATAGACCGTAGTGCCAAAACGGTTTTAACGATTTATATACACGTTACCTCAGGAGGCGTGGCTATGATGAATCATTCATGATTGCCATTCAATGAAATATTTAATTGTCTATATTTCTCATCAAAACTTTTAAGCGGAGCAATATTAGCTACTTTCTCCAAAGTGGTTAGAAAAGTAGTGCGCAAAGGCACTACACGCATTTGGTCATCAACAAATGGTCATAATTATTAATAAAGTATTCACTAATCATAGCACCCATTTATCTTTACAGAGATATTTAATTATTTAATAATGGCAGTATCAATAAAATATCTACAATAATTAATTAGTATCTGCACGTTTTGAAAATATCATTGCTCATTTAGACTATTGCATTGATATTCTTAAAATATATTTTGGTTTTCGTAATATAGAACCATTATTACACTATTTCCATCCCATAGGATCATCAATCTTCGAAGTTTACAAATCCTCTAAGCTATTTAATCAACTGCTCCCCACCATGTCCAGGTAGCTTGTAAAAAGGTAGAATGTGAATATAAATTAACCGCTTGTTACATAGGCCCTGATTGGTTCCACTTCCGAACCAATGATAAATGTGCTCATTAGAGGCTAAGCCTCCCATTGGACGGTATTAATGACCTCCTTAAGATTCATTATTGTTAGTTTCTATGGCCCGGCGCGCCTTCACTATGCTTGTGCTACTTCATCAACTTCCCTTTTATTTATTAAATTCGTTCGAGGATTTAAATAATCTATTAAATCCTATAGCTGAATATATTTTAATTTGAAGATTTAGAATATCAGCGGATTATAAAAAAAAAATACCTGCTAGAAATACTAATGTAAACGAATAACAATCTCGTTCGCGCAGCACAAACTTCCATTTACCGCTCTACTTTCAATAGAAAATATTTTCTGGCAATGCTGGCCTATTAAAAAATTTATGAAGTGCATTTTAAACGGACCTAAAGCTTACTGATAAGAAATCATTAAGACCATTATAATTACAAAAGTCTATTTATTATATCGAAAATGAAAATATAGTCACTTCATCTGCTTTTATAAACCACACGTCTTCAGTCTCTGAGCCTTTCAATTGACAAAACGACTAACTCCAATTTTAACATTTTTGAGTTATGTAATTTTAGCGATATTTCTAGTTGAAAAAGTTATCTATACAGACAGTGAGTAAGTTGATTCCGGAGTAGGTGATTGCAGTGTTGAAATATAGAATTGTGAATAAAGGTAAGAAGAGGGTGTTAAGTGAAAGTTGTGTGATGCGCGCACCCCAGCAATTTATTTTTAATTTTGATAATGTTTGAATTGATGAAAAGTTGACGGTTTATTTTATTCTTACCCTGCATTTTAGAGGCAGAAAACCGTGTGAATAAATTTTTTAAATTATGAATCCACATAGATTTTCTCTCTCTTGATGAGTATTAACTTGTTTACAACACCTCACTTTTCTTCTACTTTACGATTGGCTGTCATGGGGCTGTGTGTTCTCGGGTTTTTTCTTTTATGTCCTGATGATGACGCAACGTTGACGTGTTATTTTATTATAAAACTGCATTTTAGAGATACTATGCTTTGTTATTGGAATCTTCAAAGTATAAACTAACATGTTTAAAATACTCTTAACAAACATAAATACATTGTGTTAATATATTTCTTGCTTATGCTTCTTTACTGTAATGGAACCTAACGATTAAGTTAGATAATGGCGCCCTGAGAACAGTACCTTGTGAAACACCCGTTCGAATCACCGACTCTTATGTTCACCTTGTTCCTAATGTTCTATTGTTCGTTAAAGGCACAATATATTCCATGATAGTATAACTGTACATAGGCACTGGTTATTTTATCTATTGAAATTAGATAATGGGTTCATTAATATCGGTCGCTTTGAACATTTCATGGCTAGTATTCTTCGTATTATCTATTCACTTTCCTCCTAAGCCTCGGCAATTTCATTTACAGATAAAAATAAAAATAAATCGAGTTATATTTTAATATTAGGTGCTGTATTTATTATTTTTAGAAATAGATAATTTTTTTTTCCTCTCTGGCCATTTACTTGTCAGATATCCGTGGGAATGAGATAATCCTATGAAAAACTTGTGAACACCTTTCGGCCGCTCAACTGAGAATTGCCTACGGGCAATTCTTATGCAAATTATTTTTGTTATGCGACTCCTAGCATCCGCTTTGTGCCTCTGCCCGGTGCGGTTTTGGTATAACTAAGGTACAGTAATATTTGAAATGAATAGTTTATTTTTTAGATAATACTTATTTATTGTTATACTGGGTGTTTCGTAAGTAAAGGAAAATATTTAAAGAGGTGATAGTAGACCGTAATGGTTACAAAATAGTTTATATAAATAATGGTCCGATTTTCTGCAGAAAATAAGAAATTTAAGTTTAATATTTTTTTAATGTCGTTTTTATTCTTTAATAGAAAGCCTTATACATAGAGTGTGAAAGTGGTCTGTGAACACTATCATAAATGTCCTTGAGACAGATTGTAGTATTAAAAAAAAAAAAAAAGGTATTTAATTTAGATATTTTTTAAAATTATTATTTAGTTATTAATTTGATTTTGTTCGGTATAACCACGGTTTAGTAATGTTGTATACTATAATAATATATTTATTTCTGCATATATGGTGTGAATGAGTTCATATCTCACTATAATTATTATTCGTGTGACAGATTGTTATATTTCTGAATAAATAAATTTAAAAAAATTATATAATTAACATTTGATGAGTGATAAATATTCAGGACGTAGTCTTTATTAAAAACAAATATATTTTTTTATTTTTGTCAATGTTTCAACCAAACATGTGGTTCATCTTAAGGGAGTGGTTTGAGCACTGAGGGTGTTCAGGTACTGTGTACGTGTGTACAAACCACGCCCTGAAGATGACCCACATGTTTGGGTTGAAACGTTGGCACAAATAAATAATTAATTTTTTTTTTTAAATACTGCTTCCTGAATATTTATCATCCATGATATGTAGAACAGTCGGCTTCCTTCAATTATTAACATTAGCTTTACTTGTAAACTAGATGTATTTTTCTTAAAAGTAAAAGCCTTTGTCAACCCACAAAAAGAGATCTTTTAAAAGGCTAAACTGTGTTGTTCTGTTTTGTTATAAAATCAAATAATATTTCTCAAATAAGAATTTTATTGAATAAAACTAATACAATCTGCTACAATTTAGGACATTGAGTATTATGGCTCTATATTTACATTCATACATTTCATATACAAATTGAGAAAAAATAGAATAAGAAGAAAACATGAAAGTAAAAACATATACACTAAAATAATAAAATTTGTTTAAAGAAAAAAAAAAAGTACATTGAAAGAATAGTAATGAAGAAAATAAATAATACTTGTCACACATTCATTTATATGTACATTACTTAAATTCAGCCTAGGGAACTCTGACCCATACGTTACCACTCTCATATGAAAGGCAAGGCAGTACTCAAAGAGATCCCAGCGC